CGAAAACATTATTTGCTGTCCTTCCTACTATGCCATTTAACTTAGATAGAGAGGGAAATGTAAATTGCCTAATTACATAATGTGAAGAGTGTCTTATCTCACAAGTAGCTAAGGATGATGGAATAAACAAGAAGAGTTTGCTAGAAAAAAAATCTTAAAATTTTGGCTAAAATGTATATTAACTCAATGAATTCAAATAGAAAGAACGCAGAATTTAGGAGGTCTAAAATTAAACAACCGTAGCTCTGAAGACGGCTAAAGAGTTAGCCGTACAAGAGATGCAGGCCGTCGCTGGGAGTCGACATATTGCCTAAAATAAAAGGTTACCTTCCAAAATCAAACACGGAAGGCAATAAAAATATATATAGTTATTTGTTGTCAGTATTCTGGAGGATTGCCGTAATAACTGGGAATATCCTCAAATCATGATTTTTATGAGCTCAGCATGTATGATAATTTTAGGGTATTTATTTGTGGTACTCACGATTGGTGGTCTGAACTGTTATAAAAAACATGTAATATGCCATTGATCACTTAGGTATTAGATGTCTAAAATTTTGAAGAGTCACTTTTCGCACACCTTTTTCACAAAATCTTTTTAAAACTGCTACCAGTAAACTTAATTCTATTAAGATAATTCTTCCAGCTTCTGCTAAGAATACTGTGTTTCCATCGTGCGACAGGCTGCAAATAAATTACAAGTGGATACCCGAACTAATAATTTGTTTAGGTAGCAAAATGTTAAAAAAAAAATTTTAGCTACCAGGAATGAGACTTCTACATCCATTTAGTTACCTTATGTAAACGTAAAGTACGTCTTGAAAAATGTTCAAAAAAAATTTTAACTTCGTATCACTATATAATAATCAAAAGTGTTTCAACGGCCTTGTTTTGGAATTTAGTAAGTAAAGCAAAAAACCGTTTATATATTATTGCCGTTACAGATACTAAGAACTTCATATGCACTAGCAAGTATCCACACATGTCCAAAATATTTAACCAACAAGCGGTCGCCGATCGAATTTAGGTACTGCATTATCAAACAAATTTTAAAAGCCCCCGGTTTGGATTAATCCCAGTAGCACATTTTCAGCTCAAAAGCAGTCAAAGTAAATGAAGTGATTAGCATTAACAGAAGCACTGATTAAAACCCTGTTCCTCAAGAGTATTATAAATTAACTACACAACTAGCAACTAGCCAAAAACTAGCAACCCTATCTAGGAAAACAGGAAATATTCTAAGAAAAACAGGCTTTTGGCTCTTTATAATATGTTTTCTGGTAACTACTTTTCGTCACAAAACAACATTTTAAACATCATCATATTCGCACTATTGTACATCTCAATTATCTGTAAATGAGCGCCACAAATATGATACATAGTGTGAAAACGATGTGGTTTATATTCCCGCTAGCATGCCTTAAACATTTGCATATACCGAGCTATTAGGGAAAAATTAAAGAAGTTGTATGGTAGTCAATACTGAGCATGATGTTCGTCATTGACTTACCTTTGACCAGCATCACCTTCATAAAAGTATCATTCTTGAAGCTTGCATGCCTACATTAATTATAGCAAAGAAGAATATTCCGTTATATAGTCCAATATTGAAAGCCTACGCAATTCGCAATGAGTTTCCAAACTTTTGGTTAAACTAATTATACATCAATATAACATCTAATTATACATCAAATATTTACTGAATTGGCCACTTCTTCACGGTATAGTAATTGCTTTTTAGAAGTATTTGTCAACCGACGCGTTACGTTGGGCACCATCAAAAGTGTTAGTATAAAACTCTACGTAGTTTCCGAACTGCGATACTTAATCGGGTTTTAACCCGAGGCTAATACTTAGCCTCCATTTCTTCTATAGTTATATTACTACGAGAGTAATCCAGGAGAGGGTCCACAGCATAACTGGGCTTGTTTCAGCTAGCGTAGTGCAGGTTACATTGCGGACTGTTCGTTTAGTGTGAGATACTATAAACTGCAGTACTACGACTCAATGACCGCAAGCTCTCAACTGAAATACCGGACTAACTAGGCACACAACTCAGCATATACGACATATCTCCATTGCAAACTAATTGTTTTAGATCTAACAAATAATCTCTGCTAAAAATTAATATCTGTAAGTAGCATTTTCTACGCGCTAATAAAATCTACACTATTCTACTTAATTTTTAATTTGTATATGCTCTAAGTAATGAAGAAGGTGCTGTAATAATGAAGTATTTTCAAGCTGACCATTATTTATTTCCTTTATTTGTCTATATCATGGAGTGGGTTTGGAAAGCGGACAAAGAAGAACAATACGCATATTTTTAGTACGCTTTAATAGAATTTTTATAAACTGGTTAATGAGGTTCAACTCAGTTTTTCATCTATAAAACGGTCAAAACCTTTACAAATAGTAACGTGAAAGACACCACTAAATGCAGCATAACTATCAAAATTTAGCGGAGTTTAAGTGAAAATTTGCCTTTTGACAAAATTTATGTCTTTTTTACTTCTTTCCGTAACACTATGTTAAAAACACAACTATTATTACGATATGCAACTTTGACTTAAAGCAAGGATCAACGATACCCCACTCATAGTAAGATGGAACTTTTACGATGCAACAATAATTGCTGGTGCTCTGATTCTATTAAATAAAGGTATTACTACTATAAATTTATCGCGTCCAATATACAGTAGAAATAGGCACCTTTTCGTCGTCTCAGCCACTATGAAACCTTCCATGCTCCTCCCAAAATTTATTTTTTGATTCCTTTTCCTAAGTTCAATCGTGGCTTATAGTGGGGATTGCAGTGCAAATTAAGCAACTAATCAAAAACTTACGTAGTTGATAATTAATTTGTCGTTCTGTTTGCAGCAACATAATATTATCGACATTGCCAGTCTATTATTAAAAGTGCGAAGTCTTAATTACACGTCAGCATAACGTAAAGTGCCTTGTACATTTTTACCAGTAATTGATATCAATATTACAAATATAATTTCAGGAAAACATCATAAAAAGGCGGCTACCGCTTAACAAATTAAGGATAATGAGACCTTTTGAGTAACTTCTGATAAGATGGTTAGCAACCTGTTTCCCATTAGTAAAAAAACATGCATAAACTAAACGCACCAGTCATCAATATTTATCGTGCATGTTTCCTTTACCAACTTACAGTGCTTTATGGTCCATAGCCATTCAAGTCTCCAGTACAGTAAAAAAATGCCAGTAGGTTATCGCTGACACGTTACATTGATTCAAAGGATAGAATTCTTTCAACAACGTGGAATGAGTATATGACTAAACAAAATATATAGAGATATATAGAAACAGAGCCAGTAATTTTTCCCAAAATTCTGAGTAAGCCCTAATGCGTAATGTAGAAAAAGTAAAAGGAAAGCGTGAAACAGGCCGTAATTCTAAACGCATCGAAACGTAGATTTTCTACTGACCAAGATACCTACTACAAGTCAAAAATGTCATCCCAATTTCATTCTCGGTTGGTTAAGGGTGTTCTAGCTTTGTTTCTAATGAAAAAAAAAACGAAATAACTTAGTATGTTAGCATCTTTCAGATAATTAGGTGTCTCATAAAACATATATTTTCTTTATAACACTCATAAAACATACATATAATTACTCATAATCTACTTAAGCACACATCGGCGCATGATTATAGTCATTGATGTATACTGCCGATATTAAAGTCGAAAATGAGTACCTAGCTATTAAAACAACACTGAGAAATCACAAGAGAACTAGATCTACATGTCTTCATATCATACATCTTTCAAGTAAAACTGTTATTATCTTAAACTGTTGTTATCTAGTAAAATTGTTATCTCTTTTAATACAGATCAGTAAAACTAACTTTTTCCAACAAAATCAGCATGCTTCCAAAAGGCTGTTGTATGTCCGTTGTGGTTTAGATCCTAACCTGGGTATTGACACACTTTGTTTCGTGCAAGGAGCCAGCTGTCTGATGGAATGCCTAATGGCGATACCCGACATAAAATTTGAAACATAGAGGTTGTTGTATTTCGCCGTCCGAAATGATTCCTAACTACTTAAGCACCGTATGTAAAACTCGAAACATGTAGATCCTAGTATTTTGCTCATTGATTCGTATCCACAATTTCTTTAACACTCTTTATCACACCGTTCTCAGATTGAAAAATTAAAAACGTGTTGCCATATTTCGAGATATTAATTTAGTTCACACAATTGCGCGTACTGCGTGGCAAAAATGCTTTTTTTTTAATCTGGGCTAAATTTACGAATCTATGTGTCCGACCTAGCAATCTAACTTGTCATGTTTGAAACCACAAAGTGCCTTTCTTCAGACGACCAGCTCTCTTGCATTCTATTTTACGGTGGTTTTTCGGTCAATCAGCCATTCCGTTTCCATTATTTCCATGTTCCCATATTATAGTAATAGGATAAACTATTATTCTTTATATATTTAGGTACTCTGGGCCAAATCAAAAGCATAAGATAATCGGTAGAATTCGTTTGTTACATTTTAAAGAGATATTCTTATTCGTCTTACTCTATACATTCTTAGGCTAGATAATTAAATAATCAAAATAACATTTATTTATTTAACATTTATTGGTACATTTTTTATGCGATATTCCTATCTGAAAATAGGAACTAGGAGGAAAGCCCATGATTGAAATTTATTTACAAATTTAACCGTTACTTTTCATATGTATAATATTATCGTAGATTTAAAGTATCGAAAACAGGCTTAGTTATATAATAATTTATATAAGAAGCCTTAATCACAGTTCTATTATGTTTATATCACAGTTAATAAATATGCTGGAAAATTTGGGACCCCTTTATTACCTAATTTTTCCCATTCTACAATGTGTTTATCAGATACTGTTGTACAATGTGTGTAAATTATGATGCACACACATTCCGCCGTATAAACACAAGTCTTTAATACTTAATACTACCGATAAAACCCAGAATAAAGAATACATATGATTCAAACAATATGCAGATTTTAAAACATATCAGTACATTTATTTTCAAGATCTCCTTCTGTTTTCAATTGCTTGGAGTTTTAAATTACGTTTTATCGTTCACTGAATAAATATATTGTACAATTATTCTACATCATTTATTTAGAGCCTCTGCTCTCATTTATTCGTAGACAAGCAGATCTTTCACTAACTTGTCTTTATGCCTCGGGAATGTGTAGAAGTTGGGACAGTTAGCGGCTGTTTCGAATGTCTTGTTCTCTAGCTGAGCAGTGGCTCGCACTTCTCGAAATTCGCCGGCTACACCCAAAGTCGCCCACATGGCAGTCAATAGGGATATCAGTGTCTGCACAATAATGTCAACTGGAACGAACGAAGACCCCTGTTCACTTAGACGAAGATATGACCTATACAATATAGCACACAAAATTCGTTAGTATATCGCTCAAAGAGTAGAATTATAGTAGGTTACAATTGAAAACGTATTCGAAAATAAAACGTTTATATACATTTCTTAGTAGTCCGCGATTTTTTGTTGTATGCTACAAAATAATCAGCTTAGTTGCAATTATGCACCAACAACTACTGCTATAAAAAAAAATCTATAAAGTTAAAGTGAACAGAATATGTTTTTGTCGAGTAACGGAGATACGTAGAAAGAAAATATATTTAGTTATAGAACAAGGGTTTTTTTACTGGATTTATCTTCATGATGAAATTCTTCTTCTATGTAGTAAGTAGATTTAAAGTATTATGTAAAAAGTTTTAAACCAAGAGATTTATTTCTCAATAAAAAGAGTTAGCCTAAGGTCTTTGATAATTTTTAAACACCTCTCCTTAATGAAACAGACATAGAAGTCGCTCATTTCGTTTTAATTGCATAACAAACCGCTAAACCAAATAATCCCATGAATACAATATTAATTCATTAGTTCAGTATGGTTTGCGCAACAGTAGATATTGGCTGTGGGTGTGAGAACATAAGAATTACGCCATATAATCACTCATGACTTACTTGTGCTGAGCGGCAGAAAGACCACAGTGGACCAGACTAAGCATTGAGAACCAGAGAACTGACTTCGAGATGAACGCCATAGCGACGCTGAAATGAGAGTGACATTAATTATAGAGTCATAACAACAATCTGCCGAAAACAAATAAAGGGTGTCTAGGAAATCGAGAGGGCTATTGTAGTCATCTCCTTCCTTGCAAAGGAAGAACCCAGCAAAGAAAAGCTTAATAAAATATCACGTTTATATTGGCCAGTCTATAGGCTTTACATCATAAGGTTGTTAAGATAACACAAGTAATACATAAACGGTTGCTAGTCTGTTTTACGTAAAAAAAATTAAAATAAATTCATGGGCGTAAACTACTACATTGAACTGAACTTGCGTTTTTGCATATTTTTTCCTTATATTTACTGATATTATAATATATTAAAGGCTAGCGGAATTATTTTTACGTGCTGCTTGCGATCAATAAAATTGCCCACCAATAAAATGCGAATAATGAACTAAAAGTGTTTAGTTTCAGAAGGAAAGGCACACCTGTCTAAAACTATATACGCCTACTAAAAAGATGTAATATTTTGTTTTACTATGTATGCCCAGTAATGGATACATGCAGACCACATAGCATGTTGTATATACGGCAAACCAGGTTACACCACTAGCATTTTTCTTCCCGTTACATTCTTTACTGCCGAATATTAAGAAATCATGGATCCATGTTAATTCTCAGAGTAAGCCCTTTTACATAAAATATATACGATACGTCGTGAGTTAAGTTCTCAAATTCATGAACATTTAATCTATCTAAATGCTATTTTTAAAACTGAAAAAATGCTTGAAATTATGCTAATTGACTTGGTACAGAAAATGACCAACCTGAAAAATGCATTTCCATGTCTCATGCTCTATATGTGACTTCTCAATAAACACTTTTAACTCTGGATATAGGGCGATTCTATTGGCTGATCTTATCAATACCGGCTTCCATCCATCCTCGAACTTACAACAACAAGGTCACTTTTAGTTTCAGCTACTGATTTGTCATAATCGTTCCCCATACCACCGCATTCATCCAGACAAACATGGAATGAATACGTATCACTGCCTAATAATATGAAAACATTGTTATTGCAAAGCTGCTGTCAAAACGCAATCACGATTTCACTTGTGCAACCCGCAAGGTTATGTGCAAATACCAAAGCTGGAACAACTGGATGCTGGATGATCCGTTTTGACTAATAGCAGTCACATAAGAATTATTCAAATGGACGAAATAATCGAACCTACCTGTTTAAAGCTAATTAAAAATAACACAATGTATACATAAACCGTATTTATTAAGGTATTGATCATCAAGGTCTGCTTTATTATTGCAGCTCATGAAATGGATTGTTCTTACATGAGACATCTAAGAACGCGTTTTTGCTATCGCTTACACACCTGCAGCTACTTGTTGCTGTATTCTTTGTAACATGCGTTTATCTAGCGTTCTTCTTCTTAAGATTACAAATGCAGAACTCAGACCTCCTAGGAGCCATGTTAATAGCTCAAATCTGTAGAAATGAAGTAGTTCCGAGTCGCTGCATGGTCGGAACCTGTCACCACTCTTAGCGCATGTTACTAGTTCTTTATAGTTCGAAGTAACGCACGCGAGAATATGCTTTGACTTCTTATCAAAATCTGTACAAGGAGTGCAGGGCTGCTTGATGGCAAAATCTTCCTCGTCCCAGCACCCCTTTTCATGTGCGACTGTATGGTTCGATGTTGTCTCCACCAAAAAGCCTTCCAGAGTAAGAATAAGTAGGCAGGCGAAAATCAGGAATAGTGTCACAAAGATGAGCTTCCTCAATGAGATCGATTCGATCATCTTGTAGTCCACTAAGGGTCAGTTTAAACTACATCAGGCATCAAAGTTCTAACAAACTGCATGTAACACTTTATTAATAGCTCTTAATGTTGTTAAAATAATTAGGTCCAAGCGGTCAAAATAACAGTGATTCACGCTTTACTATTGTAGCTTTTGTAGCTTCAACTGACCTACTATTTTCTCCAGGACATTGCGTAAGTGTTCATTATTTCTTAGCTTAGCATTCTCAAACCTGCACTTAGATCATCTAGTACACGAGAACTGCAATTGCCAATACTACGACAATAAAACCCGAGTTTATTTCGTGCACATGTATCTGGGTTACTTGTAGTATGTACTGTCAACAGCACGAAGTCGGTACAAGATGCATTCCTCAGCAGACTTCTATGACTTGGATGCAGACGACTGGGCCAGGTCCTGAAAATCATCCAGGTTGTCATCAAGTTACTTACTCGGCTTAAATGATATATAATCAGGACAAGCTGAAGGTAACGACGAATATCCCTATCATGCCGTTGAAGAGACTGGTTAAAAATCGTCCGGATTTGGTTCAATACAGTACCAAATAACACTGATTGATCTACTAAAATAAACACACGCCACGAACGACTGCTGCTACTGCGACTACGTTTGCAACCACCATCATGGCCACTATAGTCGTGTTTGTGGGTCTTGATTTAGCCTCAGCTGTATCATCTAGTATCAATGAATGGAAGCATTCCACTAGCTAGCTTCGTCAAAATACTCATGATCATTTTTGATCGAAATTTAAGGACACTTGTGTCCTTGTATAACAGAGTGGACGTACGTTACCAAATTATTAGGTGTGGTGATACCGAAAATCGGTCTTAATGGATAGCCGGTGGACGGTCCTAGATATATAACTGTTTATTTTGATACGTGTCAAGATGGCGCTTTTCTGGCGCTAAACCGCGCAAAGGTTAAGCTATCTAGGGAAAATCCATCTAAGGGCGCAGTTATTTAAATGTATCCATTTCCATACAAATTGTCCATACAATTCCATACAAAAGGTAAATAAACTTTGTTATGTGTCTTGTAGCCTGGATTCCTGTTACGCATGCACTAAGGGGCAGGTAGCAGGTATTACGACACAATGGTAATATGTTTGCGAATTAATCTTATAGTCTATACGTGTGAAGTGGCTTAACCTAAGGGCACTTTTCGCTCGGGGTCAGCTATCTCAAGCAAAACGTGTTGTATGGAAACGCAATCCAACGGTCGCGGTTCTCCAGTATAAATTTACAACCTTAGCTATACAACCATCCTTCGAAATGGTCAGCATCATTATAGAAGGTGTAAAAACACCGTATTTCAAAGATATTTTACTTACTTATATATATACTTTCCGATCCTAAACGTAAGAACTCGTAAACAAGACGATGGTGTTACACCAGAACACTTTTGGAATACTCTTCTAAGTATAATATTTCATACGGGTTACTTTGAAGGTACTAATTCAGTTTCAATTATGAAAAGACTACATATATCTATAGAAAATCATGCATGCTGCTATAATTCATACCGAAAAAATGCTATTCAAGTGACAAATAAGATCGTAATTTTGTAAGTATATAACTTATGTTGTTTTTGGCTTTAAACAAAAAAATATGAAGTGTGAATATCAAAAACTAGTAACTTCAACCTTTTTCATTTATTTTTTTAATTAGTGATTAGAGACTCCAATAGTTGTTCGAATACAAAGCGCTGTCACTAAGGGAAGCTAAGTATTTAAAGCTTTAAAGCTTTTTTAAGCTTTAAAGTCTATCTATAGGGAAACCTTTAGCAAGATGTTTATCGTGGCTGTTTGTCATTAGAAGGAAGGTAGTCCATCTTTGAATAAAAGAGTATTATTGCTGTGGCGAAAAACAGTACGTTTAAGTGAACTTAAGTGAAGATCGGCTGTTATGCATTGCCTTCATAAAGGAAAGGTCCGCGTTAAAATTAAACTTTTTGGCCAAATTCGACTGTCTACTTGCCAGTTTTCAAACGGCTTTCAAAAAATCCAGGGATGATTTTACCGAATGGTCCTCGGCATCGAAATTGCTCAAATCGCATTTTTGATCCACTTAAATTTTTATGCAGAAATTAACAACATTTTTGGACAAAAAATATCCTTTATCTATTGGGTAGTTTCGCGTTTTCGCGTTTTTGTGCATCCTTTAAATTTTTTGGTCGTTTTGAGTTCTTGCAGCTTTGGAATTTCTAGTCTGATATCAGCCCAAAAAAAGTTCAATTCCGTTAAGGCTTTTGATATGCAAAGTACTGATTGAAACTTCTAGAGTTAACATTTCTCAATATCGTTTGACTCACGGTTACTCTATTATATCCATTTGAAATTAAAGGAAGGATATTTTGATAATCATTAGCAAATGGATTAAGTTCTGGATTCTGGTTATCATCGTAGTGAATAACAGTTATATTGAATAGACATGACTATCACGAATGATACTTCTAGAACGCAATTCAATCAATATGATACGATTTTTAGATACGTTTAGATACGATTCCAGGAATGTCTCGCTCATGTAAACATTCTTTTCAGCATAAAAATAAATCCCATATTATCTACTCGTAAATTTTTAACGATCATTTTAATAATTTGTAATGAACAATTAAATGCATACACAAGCGTTCGCCTTACTGCAACATGAGTGTAAGCTATATTGATTTGTTTGTTTATATTACTGTTTTATTGTTAATCACTGTTTGTCATATTATCCACGAAAAATAAGTATGCCGGCTATCGTTATAATGTATCCTCATTGTTGCTTGACTGGCGCTATTAATGGATACGCTGGCAACGGTTCATTCAATAAATCGCAGTGCTTAGTTCATCCGTAAGATTACCTAGAAACGGTGAAATAAGCTAACCAGGTTCCCTTATATGATCCAATTTCTTTAATGTAATCAAGGTCCTTATGTTCCTTGGAATACTGATTTTGAGATCAACTCCCAAAGTGCATCCACTGCGCTTTTATCTATTTATAAATAATAGTTCTTTGTTTAGGCTTAGTAATTCTTATCTGCCACTTTGCTTCAAAAAAAAGAAGATGTTACTGTTGTGACAATATAAGAGCCATTAAGATGCACAATGCTATGGGTAATCAATGATGGTTTATCATTCTATTTCCACAACAGTGTACAAAAATTAATTTTCACTGTTTGGCTACGTACTGGTGTGCCTGTTGCTTTCCAAATCAGTTATATTCCAACTATGTTGCATTTGACAGTTATTTTTTTTTATTATCTAGGCTCCGTTTATAAACATATTTTTAACAACGGTAATCCTAGATTTTTGTTGTCGTTTTAGAAAAAAAAAACATGCGCAAAAGGGACGTTTGTAATTGTACAACATGGTAAAAACGCTTGTTAATAATTTTTTATTTCACGCTTGATGGGTTACTAACAAAGGTGTACTTGAAATTAAATAAATACTAAAATAATGCTAAAACAGCTTATTTTTTTGTAACGCGATAGTATATACAGTACGCAGGTGCTAGCAGTTTTTAATTTGCACTTTTCTCTATTATTATATTCAATAGGACCACCCACTCATTTTTAAAAGAAAACCAAGGCCTATAGATGTTAAGATACCAGTATTGTAGGGTTATCGAAAAAAAATTCATAATAATGTAATGGTTAAAAATCGCATGCAAAATTTGCATGCTTTCAACACCTAAGATGTATTTAAAAAGTTCAAAAAGGGAAATTGTATTACGGTAAGTTAAAGCAGGAAGTACACATATCCTGGAAATATTAAATAACCTTGTATAGTTCAATACTTACTTAGTACTTAGCGCGAATTCAGAAAAAAATAATTAGAATATCACCACCGCGGATAACTTTCTTTACTGTTTATTGATACTTTTTTTACATAAAACAAATAAGCTACAGACATTAATGTCACAACATAACTTGTTAGCAATCTGAAGATACATTAATAGGATTAGTGTGCATGAGGGAGATGGCTAAAGTATGAATTGAAGAAGAAAATGTATACTACTTTTCAGTGGAAAATAATCTACCTTGTTTGTAAAGGTATTCTTACCGTGATTTTTTTTTTACTTGAATGGATAGAACCTTTCCATATGAATATAGCCAAACTGGAAAAAACTGCTTCGAAATTACCTATGTGATTATAGGCTCCGTCCCGGATTTTCGGTGAGTGCCTTTAACTTCGTTGTTTTCGAATCGACAACGCGCATTGGTTTATATAGGACCATTGTTGTACCACATGATAGAACACGTGGAATGATTGAAGGGAAAATTACTATGCTGTATTGTACGCCACAGTAACATAGTTGCCATTTATTTGAGAAAACCATTAGTGCAATCAATGCGACTTTAATTTTACTTCTTAATATCAATGTAAATTCAGTTGGATTATTAAGGTAGGACATGAGAAATAACTGAAAGTGACAAGCGTTGAAAACGAGATATATTGGCGATAGTGATTTATCTATTTAGTTGATATAAAAGACATAGAAGAATAGATATTCATGGGTATATATGCATATGGATATGTATACAGATTTTGAAATGCGAATAAAGGCTTTAATTAATATGTAGGTTGATACGTCACACATATGTCTTCAGCGCCGTCGTATTTAATTTACAAATGTGAGTTAAGACCTCATTCCTTCATCGAAATGTAAATCTGTTGATGACTATTCCCAATAAGCCTTTTTTGATTTACAATTAAATATCAATTAGCAGATTTGTGAAATCTGCTAATTGATATTTAATTGTAAATTTAATTGTGAACTATTATGTATAGCTATATGGCGTGTGTAGAGTCGTTTCGTTGGGTACACAGTTAATCCAAACTTCAAAAAAAAAAAGAACACAGATGGTATACGGTTATGCATAAACTATATTTAGATTTAACACAGCATAGGTTCTAAATACATGTTAGGTCATCGTCATGATTCGATTCACAATACGCCTTTATCTCTGGATAAACGAATATGTTTTGTTACGTGCATTCCGACGGGCCGCTCTGATGTAAACCTGGCAAAAAAACCCCATTCGATAAACAACAGAGTCATTCGCGATTGGCAAATTTGACTGGCTCGAGTACCGATGAACTTTCCTTACTGAAGTCATCCATCTTGGGCTCCAATTTACTTAGTCTCTTGACGTCTATCTAAAAGATGTGAACAAAGGTGTTTATTAAGTAAGCCGATGCCCGCACATTTCTATGCAGAAATATATCCTTAAGAAAAAAAATCTTTTGGACATCGTCGCATCGTTTTATTTGTGTGTATTTTTTTTTTAATGAAATGTTATATACTGATCTTTAACGTTTTGTGCACTGTTTTCGTTGTATTATCGTAATGTCGTAAAGCTTTCTGAGACGTGGTGCCGTCTTTGATTGTGATTTTGCTTGATTTTTATTCGATTGCGGCCACGCGTTAATCCCGTCGGGACTCATCTTTATTATTTCATTGGCCCGTGTGTTGCCTTACATATGGTAGTAGCAATGAATTGCTAAAATCTATTATAATAAATAATATAATATATAATAAAAAATATGGGGCGCATTCCGGTTTTTATGATTAACTTATTTGTGTTATAGAGTTTACCCAACAGAGTAATGTCGATAGTGCGACAAATTCTAGTAATAATTAGATTTCCACAGTATTCCATATCTTACTGTATATGCCTGTACGTGTTTGTCTGTTGATATGTATATTGATGAAGTAACCTCATGGGCCAAATGATCTGATCAAGCTAATATATATATATATTCTTTTTCCGTTCACGGTTGTAGAATAGACTGATTCGGCATTTACTTAAGATGATGCAATGAGATAGTTCTTACCTCAGATTTTTGTGGGCCTGAAATTTGCCGCTTTGCTGGTCGAGGCCATTAACAATAATGTTCGTATGTGCCGTTAGGATTTCGGGCCACTGGTAACCGTTACGTACATAAATACTGCTTTCCTCTTTAATTTTTGTGGGCCGATTTTGACGACACCAAATAATTTTAGCATTTTTTGGATATAGATGAAGTGTTAACGGTCGTCGGTCATTCCGTGTCGTCCTAGTAGGAGCGAGCAGCGTTACTACTCGAAGAAGTATTCTGCTCTTTGCTTTTTGCCTGCATAGAGCCAACGCGCAGTTGAATTATTTACATGATAGACAACGGGCCTTACAACCCCGCTGCCATGTCATAGTACTCAATTGATGGAGTATAGTGATAGGTATGGATAATGACATACAATTTATACCTAGTGGTAAATGTTTTGTTCAAATATTAAGTATATTACGAGGTCAGCGTGTATAGCAAGCTAATTTTTACTGAGCTGAGCGTCCAGCCAGTAACGCAATGTTGGCAGAAAAATATGTTAAGATTGTGTACTTTTTGAAGAAGTAACTTGTGGAAAGGGTTTTATCACCTAAAAACTGGACACACGCTTAGGAACTTTTACAATAGCAACAACTTATAGTAGTCTTCTTTCTTTCCATTTCACTAAAATTTGGTACATGTTTATTGTGCTAATCAAAAGTTAAATGTAGGTACATTAAAAATACCTCCTGAGTTGTATTGTCAACTATGATAATCTGACGCAAAAATACGCGCATAAATACTCGATAGTTGGGATTATGATATCCCACATTAAGCTACTCATCGCCTTTAATACAAGGTAAAATCTCACTATAGACACACCGCCAAGGACAAGACACCTGCGATCTAGCAAAAATGCACTGCATCTGTTCAGGCTTTTCCAAGATAAACTTTAAAATTATAAGTATATCGCTGCTAGTATAGCCCCATAATTAGAATATCGTTTGTGTTGTTTCACTAAGAAAGATAAAGGAATAATAATCTAACTAAGACTAAATATTTTAACTCATCTACAGCATTCTGTTATAGAGGAATAACTGATCTCGAATAAATATGTTAAAATAAAATTTATAATGAAGAAATCAAAAAAAGACACAAGGAACCAAAGTTTTCGTATACATAATAGAGACGTGCTGTTAATATTTTTGTTTTTTTTATTCGTATAGTCTTCGTGTTTGTTCGTCTCCTCATCTGTCGTAGTTGTTTTTCTCATTGTTTTTCTCCGTTAACTATGCGTCGCCTGTGTTCCATTCATTTATTTGCTTAGTAGCTTCTTGATTTTTGATACGCTCAGTGAAGTACTGCTAGACACTCTACGGTTTGGACGAAACAGAGTAGTCGATGTACGGCAGAAAAATAAACTTGTGTACTTTAAATATTTTAATTATTTCCTATGCTTTGCTCTTAATTCAGTTCAGCAATTGTTGTATGTGCTGCCGTCACAAATTGGTGGCATTAAAACCTCATTGTTTGTAAGCATCCTCATATCTAATGATACCCAAAACAAAAAGAAACGATGAAAAAATTCATTCCGTTAAGCTGCGTTCTTGAAAAATGTTATACTATCGCTATCGATATTCGTTAAAAATGGTGGTCATGATTATTTATAGAGAAAAATTAACCCTCGTTAGGAGAATCTTGTTAAAATTGGCACCTCATTTACATGAACAATAAAAATCACCGCAAGTAAATAAGCAGTTGGCAAATAAAGGCAGTACTCAAATGACAGTTTTCTTCGCCAAGTAGAGTTATCGGCTAGCAGTTACTATTCATTCTATTTGACATTTAGAACTCTTACGGATTGATCAATTTTCTAAAGAAGTTAATATCCACATCTCCGTAAATACTTGACCTTTTCTTAGCATTAAAAACCTAACATGAAGTTGAATAGCCGCTACAAAGGCACAGACGCACCATGTATGCCTATGCGTCACCACTAAGTAAACATTATACATTCTCTAGTTAGAGTACTCGTGGTAATAAGAAAACGATGAACTAGGTATTCAACAACCGAACTGGTGTACTCAAAAATCACATTAAGTCTTCTCACTATTGCTTTTACCCGGAGGTTGGAGATACCATAGCCTTATTGCCGGGTACAAATCCTCATTAAGAGACTTGTGGCGTTCCCTGCACCAACAAGTGCGTAGGTACAAAGGCGAACTAATGGTCCGACAGAGAAATTTCTTATTGCTATACAGCTAAGACATAATAACATGAGTGATATCACAAACAACAAATTTGTGATCCTTAGCTTTTCTCTTATCGTTAACTAAACTTTTGCAAAGCGTGTTGCTTCTTGTCCAATGCATTATCTTGATATACTAGCGTTCTCCTAGAATACGTCATGTTCTATTGTATGCTTGTCGAGTGTTCTGGCTTACTACTGAGTAGTATGAATATGATCGTATGGGCCAAGAACTGATGAAAACCAGTTGCCACGTAAACAATATATCATAGGTAGGATGAAAGAGACTATTCCGTATTATTGCAAAATGCTGTGTGGTTTGAGAAGTTAGAGCCGCAGTGCGAGCCAATAGATTTTGGGATCAGATAGAGGGGAAATGTTTGGAATTACTGAACCGGCACGAGAGTTGGTGCTGTTGCAGGGCGGGTTGCAAAAAGCGTCTCAATGACGCCCTCATCAGCGAGCGTGCTGAGGTCACCAAAGGTTCGATTATTAGCAGCGACGTTTCGCAAAATACGCCTCATAATTTTTCCTGAGCGAGTTTTAGGAAGAACAGGGCAAGCGTGGATGACATCTGGCGCTGCAAATGGTCCAATGCGTTCGCGGACCTTTTCACGAAGTCGTTGCGCAGTCGTCTCGGTATACTCGTAGCCCTAGGATAAAAAAAACTTGTTGAATTCTTACTTATAACTACGTTGTTCAGAGCGGTTTTATATTTATGTGTTTATTTCACATCAACGCACATCATCGCGGGAGATGCAATCATTAGGGTAAAAACTATACGGTGCGCGTATACTGACATCAAATACGGAACTTCTTATTTCAACAAATCTTGAGTTATAACAATCTACAAATACCTTTGCGCAAGAAAACGTTTGTGCATATAGAGAGACAGTTCTGTATTTTTCTTCGTAAGTCGTCATTCGATTACGTACCTCTTTGAGCGTGACAAAGCAGTAGAGACATTCTCCTTTTACTGGGTGAGGAGCTGCAACTGCGGCCGCTTCGGCAATTGCTTCATGTTCGATAAGCGCGGATTCGACTTCAGCAGTTGACAGTAGATGACCTGAGACGTTTAACATATCGTCCATACGGCCAGTTACCCAAATGTAACCGTCGGCATCGCGACGACCCCCGTCCCCAGTACAATAATAGCCGGGAAATTTTTTAAAATATGTTGTTTCAAAACGCTCATGATCTCCAAAGATCGTACGCATGATTGAAGGCCATGGTCTTTTGAAGACAAGGTATCCCTCTGTCGTGTCCTTTATCTCCTTTCCTTGCTCATCAAGAATAACTGCCTCAACTCCGAAAAATGGTAAAGTAGCTGACCCCGGTTTTGTAGCAATCGCTCCAGGAATTGGTGTAATCACATGTCCACCTGTTTCCGTTTGCCAGAACGTATCCACAATGGCACAGTTCTCATTGCCTACGATACGATGGTACCACAACCATGCTTCAGGGTTTATGGGCTCACCAACAGTACCAAGAATACGCAATGTCTGACGCTTGGAAGTCGAGGACACCAAGCTATCACCTTCCTTCATTAAAGCCCGGATTGCCGTAGGGGCCGTATAGAACTGAGTCACGCGGTACTTGTCAACAATCTGCCACAGTCGAGAGCCATTGGGATAGAAAGGGGTCCCTTCAAACTGTAACGAATGCCACGAGCGAAAAAATGTATTATATCATTAGATACCATTATGCCGCTAATCGAAAAGCTCCCTACTACCGTGAAAAACTCTAAAAATATTCAGCAGTGGTAAGATCAGTTGTTGATTTTTTAAAAAAGAAGAGATAGAACACGGTGACGTTCATTTTATGTATATATCTATGTTTCTTCGGTTTATTTGTATATGAAAACATAACGTTTCCTTTCCTTTAACGCCATCGGAGCCTATTGATGGACCACACGCTCCACTGATGTACAAAATGTTCCTTCCAAACGACTGTAGATCTGCACTTTATGATTTCAATGATAATAATATTAATAAAGATATTCATAGATACTTCTTAAAGCACCTTACAGTCTTCTACACGATTATTTCGAGTTTTTCCTATTAAGTTTTGCCTAAAAGTCACACCTCTCACTCAAAAAATTGTGAGACTTCTAACTGAACGGAAACTTACAATGCATTTTTTCTTTGTATTAAAGAAGTCTATCTTCCTAATTTTTAATTAACTAGATTTAAACCCGCCTGCGTAAGAGTACGTTAGATTTTGCAGACTGTAAATTTTTAAAAACCTTCTTATTTGGTCCAAAATGGCGCATCGGATCTGGATATCGCACTGTGCACTAATTAAGGTTGAATATATCTCGAACCGTGATGGGTATTAGGAAAAGAAAAATGCATGAACTCTATTTTGAGCAAGCTGTGAATGTTTTTTGTAGCATATAATCTACGAATATAGAAATAAGTCGCAAACTTACAAGAACACTGATGGCTCCATTAAGAAGAGGTCCATAACAGACGTATGAGTGGCCAGTAATCCAGCCTATGTCAGCGGTGCAAAAATACACATCGCCCTTCCTGTAGTCAAATACGAACTTGAAAGTGGTCGCCGTGTACACCATGTAACCCGAGGTAGTATGCACGATACCCTTTGGTTTACCGGTCGATCCACTATGAAACATAAAGAAAGAAATATTAGAAATTATACCCACCAAAATTAAGAAACATTTGGCTAATATAGCATACATGGTAATCTGTAATGATTAAGATAGATTAGAGATATGAGGGCGACCCTCTTAGTTGGTTTGGATTTCCAAATAATAGCTACGCTTCGAAAATCTTTCTTCATACCTATATCGTAGTGTTTGAGGATTTTCGAAATATGTTTGCGTTTTTATTTCATGTCTTGACGTATTGTGAACAAAAATAGAGGACCATTCACAATCGCCATTGAAATATATATAATTTATGACAGGACTTTTGGACTGGCACAATATGTTCTTTAGGATAGAAGACAGGATGCTCACAATAACCTCTGCTTCTTGAAAACTCTTTTTGATGTCTGAGTCGTAATTTAGCCAACTAACAAAACTGAGCTTCAACTCCCGGATTCGGCGTCACCATAAATATGCAACATCTATTTAATATCATATACCATACACTATTTATTAGTAGCGGTTAATCATACAAATGATCAATTACCTCATATACATATATTTCAGTGCACATGTAGCGTAGAGACCTGTTATCTATTAAATGACGATATGTATCATATATAGAGAAAAACTTACCTCGTATACAGAAGAAAAAGGGGGTCTTCCGAATCCACCCATTCAGGCTCGCAGATGTCCTTGTGTTTTGCGACCTCGTCATGGTACCAACTGCTGATGGGGCTTAAGCTTACCTTGAAAGGGCCATAGGGTCGTTTGCCTTCAATCGAGAGTGCTGTAGAATCCGGAGCGGGAGACAGATGTCGTACTACAATGCAACTTTCCACCTCGTGCGCCCTGCAGTAAATAATTTATCACGGTGGAAGACACACATTGTAATAATAGACGATTCGCATTCGTGGCTAAAGAAAAACAATTCGCTTACTTCAATAAATATCGCTAAAGGCGCTAAAATCGAATTATTTCGCTTGAAATTTTACGAATTTCAGCACTGCAATACTTACACTAACGATGCTTTGTCAATTGCTTCCTCCACAATTTTCTTAAGATTGATTAGCTTGTTTCCTCTCCATACACCATCACAGGTAACGACAACCTTAGCACGAGCATCCACAACACGCTCAGCAAACGCGTCCGCCGAGAAACCAGCGAACACAATCGAGTGTATAGCGCCAATACGTGCGCATGCCAACATAGTGACAACCAACTCGGGTATCATCGGCATATAGATTGCAACGCGGTCACCTTTCTTAACGCCTTAAATATAACAATTCATAAAGAATTGTGATTCCACGCAGAGATACGAAAAATGGTACAAATAAAGACGTCTGTCGTTTTTAGGAAGTTAAATCGTGAGAGGCTGCTTCAATAAAATACTGGCGTCGTAGACGAGAAGTGCTCCTTCCTTACCTCTTAGTTTTAAGTTAATCACCCAGGTACCAATAAACCAGAATTTTTTTAGTCACTTATTTATAGCACGCGATCCCGAATTTGATACTGATGAGGTATAATGTTACTCTAGTTGATTCCAATGCATCGTGCAATAAGAGCACTCAAAGGTAATATATAAACTTCCGTTATTTTGGGATCCTTGCAATTTCGATACTACTTAAACAGACGCATCAATTATTTTCAACCTTATATGTTAACTGCTGTGTTGATTCAAACGGCACGTAGCAACTGTTCAAGGATGGCTTATGTGATACCTAACCACAAGGAATACTGTTCAAAAGCTTCACAAATGACAATGCTGCTTATAGAAATTCAAATTGGAAAACTCTCTACATTGATCAGTATTGAGATACCGCAAGTTCTGGTGAAAACTAGTTCAATTAATTCTGGAATATCTGTGCACTTTTCCAGAGTAAAAAAGCATGAGGCCGTTGGTACATCAATCATAGTGTTACGGGTCCGTAAAATTGAATGAAATACTCGTTTCAGATATACTTACCCTTTGCTCTCAGAACGTTGGCCATGCGACACACCTGTTGAAGTAACTGTCCGTACGTAAGAGTCTTAGTATCTTCTGGATCATTTCCTTCCCTGAAAGAAGCCACAATGTAGTGTTGCCGGATTTACAGTATATATAATATTGAAACTCTTACTCTATATACACACACTTAACTACCAGATATTTTTTTAGTTATTTACCGCAGATTATTAGTATAGAATATAGATTTTTGAAGTACTCTAAACGCTTCTCGTCCTTTCAAAGCGGTTTCTGAGTGAGAAAGACTAGCTTGAATTAGCTTCACTTAAGTACCATACGAAATAAGTGATTGGCAAACATCAGAAAATCAAACGTAGAAACAATTCGAATGATTTTTCATGTTTCTTGCACTCGTGAAATGTTTGTGATTAAATATTATTTTGGTAAGAGATTGTTGACAGAAAGGACTTGCTGAAGATCACGTCTCTTGAACCATCAAGGTACTTTTAAAAAACTGTTTATATCAATTTAGCCGTAAGTCCACGAAAACAACAGTACCAGAGTACCACTTTTGTAATTTCAATCTTTATAATACACTGGTATTATGAACATTAAAAATAGCCATTTTAGATATATAAATTCAATTATATAACGTATGCGTTTACTTATATATGACGTTTGAAGGGTATAACGGATTTAATGATTCCTTGAAACGAATCGTTTATCATACATAAACTGTGGGATGTTTATTCTTTGAGACTTAAAGCAAACATGGACAGGTACATGTCACAAAAAGTGACGTTAAGCCAAGTTCTATTCAATTTTTCGCATTCATATTGCTGAGCTAGTACCTCAAGAATTTAGCACATATAAGAATGTACTAGTATGAGTGGTGATTAATACTAAAATACGTACCAACACTTCTGGACAAAACTATATATGCACTTTTCTTGATGTGGTCACTAGGAACGCAGAAAGCCGCTGCCGGACGAGCACGCACAAATTTAAATACAGCGACGGAGTAGTGGGGAAAGTATCTGCAGCACCAAATTATACCCGGAAACTAATCTTCTTTAATCGAGGGTTAGCAAGAGGTAGGTAATGTCATTTTGTCCCATAGCAAGGGTCCATTTTAACGTCTATCACAAAGTAAGACATTTTGGCTTGAAAACAACATATATTACAGGAAACAACAATTTGATCAGCTAAAGTTACCCAATTGGGGAACAGAATCGAAAATGACACTGGGGTCATTACGCAGAACAATTACGGCACTCACGTCTAATTCCGTCGGCTTTTACTGTGTTGTTTCATGTTTGCATTCCACAATATGCTTAAGTATAAATGAGGTTAAATGAAAACAAAAACGGCCTAAATTTAGATCTACAGAGCGTGTTGCAATTTCTAGTAGTAATCTGCAGAAGTGACTGTCCAAGCAAACCGGGTAAATAGTCTTAAACGAAACCTCAGCTGGAAATCGAATCTCAGGCTTCCCATCGTTGCGAGTTTGCTGCCCTATCCGCTCCCGTTACTGCATCGGCTATCGATTTTTTCTTTTTGACATATGTTGTATAATGCACTTCATTGACATAGTAAAGAAGAATCGAGTGCTGTTATGGATAGATTTTGCAAGTTAATACTAATTCACAAGATGTAATACCCAAGAAGCAGGGTAGAAGGATATCGTTTCGTAGTGTTTCTGCCATCATTCCATGCCATGTTTTGTCTTTTACGCTTTTCACCTCGTCTCGGCAAATCGCCTTTAATAAACTGCGTATCAGTATCTTCTCAGAACAACCATATGCCTGTCGTAAGCAATGAATACGAAGATACAATAGTTGAATCAGAGGAAAAAGAAAACGTCGGCTAATAGGGAACTTATATATTTGCCCCGTCCACTTCAACTTTTAAACCACTCCACCCCTTTTTTCCGCTTTCATCGTCCCTCATGCGCTGCACATCCGCAAACTCAGGTCTACCTGACCCTCTAGTGAGAACTCGCGGCACGGTGACCCAATGTAAATAGTGCTATTTACATTAATACCGTCCGAGTCACAATGATAATTGGCAGTTTCGCAACAAATTATGACATGTAGTAATAATTGAAATAAAATAACCTTTTTTTTTTACACAAACCTTAAGATTAAATTTAAACTTCATACCACTTTTATCTAAATAAACGAAAAAAAGTAAAATTGACCAATGTATACTATGGCTACATTGTCCATTATTTGGATTTGGAATTTTAGATATTACTTGTTGTGTTAATTTTATCGGCTAAAAATTCAAAGCTGTACTAATATATGCCGTTCAAAATCAAACAAAATATGAATTATCAATATAAACGCAACAGTGAAACGACAACAAAAGGTAACAACAGTTTTTCCAGGCTATGTGCTTCCATAGTGGCTTATACGATTAGTTACTTTCGCAAGGATGAAGACCGATATAGCGTTTGTGGGTCACCACCCAGCTTGCAGTGACAGAAATTGAAGCAAAACGATTTTTCACAAACGCCAAAGAATCGATGGACAACTACGCTGTGGATATATGAAGTTTACTGTAGCACGCTGTTTTTCAGCTCCTTGTTTCAAGTAAAGAAAAAACAAGTACATTGTCGTATTAACAAAAATAACGACATAAAACAGACGTTGTATATATACAAAGTACTTTTAATCAGTTGGTTTTACGTTGTCAGCTATCTATTTGAAGATATTTAAAAGCATATATCTTGAGAAGAAATTTATGTAAATATCTGGTAACCTGGCATCAGAATACCTTCGATTGATTCTTTATATCTATATATCGAAAGAATACTTTATATAGTTGACACTGTAAAGACGCGTTGGAGGTAACAGGCCAGTAGGTTATCGCAATATCAAGAAAGATTAAGTTAATGTTGAATAAGTTTAACGTTATTTTTTAAAGTTTTACTCAATGAACATGGTTAATATATTTATATCAAAAGACACAAAACTACACAGAACGCATGCCCGAACCCTTAAAAGTATGCGCCTTTTAAAATGTTTACCGCTATTTTCTAAATTTACTACAAATGTCAAACTGATACTGAACATCGCACTAGTGGCCTCATTGAATATTAAGCTGACACTACCTTTGTTTTTTGTGTTCCGAATAAAAATATATCTTGTTTTTTGAACTCGCCTTAAGTGAAACTGTTAGGTGTCTAACATTAACCGACTCCAAAAGAACTTGGCCCATTTATGGAGTCTTGTTCGGGATCTCATGATCTTCACGAATTAAGAAGAAATTTGTTTTATATAGGTTTTAATTCGCAGTAAACCAAATTAATCGATTCTATACGGTTATGCTGGAAATATACAGGAATGGGTAAAAATCACTTGACAGATTCAGCGTCTTTATGCACCTGTTAACGTAGTAGGATATTAGAATGCAAAACAAATAAGCTTTAAAAAATAAGGTAAAAAAATTTTCTGAAATCACTTTTGCCTCACCCTACATATATTATACTGACGTAAAATGGAGGTTCTCAAACTATTAAAAAATTTCTGCGTCATCTTACAGATAAAGTTTGACGATAGCATTAAGGAGCTGAGAAAAGTGTTCTCCAGACGGTATAGCTAAGTAGACAGATATACTAGTTACTACACATGCATGTTCTAGTAGATACCGGATGAATTATAACATGTAAAAACATACGACAATACGTGCTTTAAGTAACAGAGTGAATGAATGAGAAAAAATCATAGAAAGTGCTCTCTATTAATCAAAAACTTTTAATGCAGTGTTTCGTCCGCTACTAACCAAAAGTATGCGACGTTGTCTGCGGAGCCACCCTGAACGTGGACGTCCAAGCAATTATAAGCGATGTTGGTCTTAGCGCCCTCCATGAATTTGACGAACACGGATCCTTTGTAAACGTTGATATTGTAATCGAACACCTTACCCTTCACTGATTCTTTCCAGTAGAATGACTCGGAGAGCTGTTTCCAAAAGCCCTCGGGGTCGTTTATAGACCGTTCGTATAGCTGGTTATACTGAGCCCTACATTTGAGATGTGCGTTTTCGCGCACTCGATAGGGCGGTTCGTACATCTGGTCGGCCATATCCGTGCCCTGGACCTTCGGAGATGATGTTCCCTTTACGTGTGCAGTGCGGTTTTCAAAATGCGCTATCTTCTTAACGTGCTTTGCTTCGAACCTATTACAGCCGCGAGGAGTTCGGCAGCCTCGAAGTTGAGATGAAGACCCCCTGGCGACGGCGCAAGTTAACGAGCAGTGGCACGTACTTTCAACGTTTCCGTTTCTCACTATGGTCAGGGAGACACCCAAGCACAAATACGGGAAAATAAGATAAATATTCAGTTAATGCCCAGTAGTACGCACTACAGAAAGGTTAGTTCCTTTCGATACATTAACAAGACAAGGTTTACTGCTGGCCCGATGCCTAGACAGAAGGTTTATGTTATTACAAATGTTGCGAGGACGTCTTGGCTTTAACAGTAATCCGACTGACAGTGATGGTTCTGCTCAGAGCGGAAACGACCTCCTGGGAACCCGCCAGGGGGAGGGAAAGACAGAATTCAGCTAGCAGCAGCAGCAACAGTAAGGCAGCCGACATGCAGACAAGTCGACACCGCTCGGCTCGCGCATGCGCCAATGGATAGGCTTTAACCAACGGTAATGTGCTAATGCTTCTGTTACTGTTGCTGTTGCTGTTGCAGCCACAACTATCCACACTTGTGATGACGCCCCTCTCTCTGGAGCTGAGCAGAACCTTCCTGTGCGGATCCAACTAGGCAGCATTAGCTAGCTTCCTTGTTGCTATCGCGCATGGATTTTTTCTTATGATGGTATGATTTGAGCCAAGTGTCGGACAGAAGGAGCGAAGGTCCTACACTTTCAGTCAGTCAGTGACGTCATTACTTTTCATAGACGAATGAAGAAGCGAGAGAGTGGAAATTTCTGTATGTTTGCCATTTACGTAGCTCGGATTTCCTACATATTCGATTTCTCACATGTAAGTTTCTACAGATCAAATCACTCAATCCGCTGTTTGAGTTATTTGGCCTGCAGTAATGGTAGTGATGCCGCAATGATAGTACTATTTTTTTCTATGATTAGACGATGCCATCACAGTCGGGGAAAATCAGTACGCACCTGCATACGTCTATAGGAAAGAGGACGATAAAGGGAGATCCAGTAAAGTCCAGACGCGACAGGAGGCTAAACAGAATACTGGACCGAAATGTTCATTTATCCTCCGGTAGCAGCCACCATACACTGGCGTTACTTTTGCAGCCATAAAGGAACATGTTAAATCTTGGACAAATTACACAATACAGCATGTTGCACGTAGAAGTCTAGATGGAAATGGCTGGAAACTGGACGGAAATATTTTATCTATGTCATCTATCAAGTATATTAATAATGTACTTGGCAAATAAGCTTACCAAACAGACACACTATATCAAATGATGTCAATGAAGAAGGAAAAAAACAGTTGCTCTTACGACACACAGTTAACCACTGAGAATTGATTTTGAGTCAACGTAGCCTGCTATGCATCGGCTTGAGCTCCGCACAGACTAAACGCTTACTCTAAAATTACTACAGTTTCTTGGTCATATCAACAATCATATATACTCTAGGCCGTATTAAAAGTCGTCTTAGCTATAGGACAGAGCTCGACTTATAACTAATAACAAAAAAGGGAATGGACAATAACGAGCAAGCAGTATCTAACAGTGTAATGCACATAGATACACAATCAAGCGCTGAAGACACCTGCATTTCACGCAGTGACCAGCTCGAAGTGCCTATTAACGTATATCAACCTCTATTTACGTATAGCTAACGGTCACTGTTCCACCCATTAGACTTCACGATAACGTTACGTATAAGCTACCTGGTCCTCAAAGCCTTATGCTATTTTATTTAATTTATGTCTAATTCGCCTATGTAAATTTATACGTCAAAATTATTTCGAATTGCTGGCTTGTTTCGCGTTTATTATCTGTAAATTACCCAGTTATCGACTATATTAAGCAACGTTTGTATACAGGTATGCACGAGTAGCGGACTAGAATTAATAAATACGCACAGAATGTAGGCTTCCCAACGGGAAATTCGAAAGTATCTAAATCAATACGCGAACGTAAGAAAACAAAATGTGATCCAAGTCCAAAAAGACGCTATGCACGTTTGACTGTACCATCTCTAAAGGTGATTAAAGAAAGTTATTGTATTAATAGTAGTTCTCCATTATTATGGAGTTAAGAGTAACAAGAAAAAAGGAAAAAAAATATCATAGTTACACGATATAATGTAGACAGTGCCATGATTTTCAAAATATTTTTCGTGCATAATAGCCATAAATTGTATAAATATTATCTAAAAAAAACTAATGTTTTAAATAAAATCATGACAGTTTGTTAGTAACCATATATCTTATAAAATGAACATCCTATTTTTTATGATCCGTTATCGTCATAAAATAGTCCAAAAACCCCCTCAAAAGCTTACATAGGTGATTGTGCTTAGCCTTAAATCCATACATTACCTATTCAACGCAGCAAATACGTGAAATTCACCATATTTGGACACTACATATACTGTTTGCCTATCGACGAGTGATAAAGAGGTGAACATTGAAGTAAATAGTGTTGCGCATTCAAGCTTAATTAATGTGCATGAAAACGACCAAGTCAAATTTTCTTTTTCTGCTTGCAGAACAGCAGGGCTTTATCACTTCCAGTCGCCCGAGTATTTAGCGTGTCCTGGCTTGTTGTCTGGTAAGAACAGCATTTATAAGCTACTTACAGAAGTACCAAAGACTGTAGTGGAAAGCTTATTTATACCGCTCCGAGTATCACTTATCACCAAATACAAACTTAGAATATCTGTACTGCATCTTCAGCAAGTTTCATTTTGAAGGAAAAAGAGTACTCTGGTGACCACTTGGGACCAAAGAATCCAGAACCTAGACTGTAGTTCATATGTACAACAGAACAGCAACACATTTTAAGTATTGGGCCCTGCAGTCACGAAAATGCTCAATTAAACCAAAAGACTTTTTAGAACAGAACACTGCAATAATATTATGAAAAGTTTCACCTCAGGGAATATATAAAGGTATATATTTACAAGGCCAAAAGGTAAAGACATACCGTTAATAGTCAAGTGAAAGTAATTTTGACTTCACTTGAACTAACACAAGGTCTTGACTTAGACTTCCTTTTGGTAATACACTTCAAAGATCGTTAACTCCAAGCACATACATTTATTATTAGTTTAAACCCAGCGGAAAATCGTGTCGGTTGTAAAGGCTTTTGGATCATGGCCGATGCAAAGCAACCACAAATTATATCGTCAAAATTGAGGTCACCAAGAGCCTGCCGAGATCGTAATAGTGGCGCACGTACTGAAGCTTTATTTTATCAATTGCTTTGGGAAAAAAGTCGATGTCTTTAAGGAACAACTGATCCGAGTGAAAGCTATATATGTGCACTCAAATCCACCCTTACTCACAAAATGCACGAGAATCGCGGACCATTATTAAGGCGGCTGGGTTTGTTTGTTATGAAAAATTTATCTGCAACAATTCGGTGGAATAGTAAGGACAGTGGGATGACTTATTATCAAATTGAAAAACTGAGCTTCATACTGAACTACTGAAGCTGAGATAAAACAAACTGGTGCACACACCATTTAACAACTTCATACGTAACATCCCTAGCGATTTATCACCACCGAAACACTTATATGTTGATGCAATAAGAATAACCGTCTGCTAATCGATATTTGTTAAGTCATTATTGCATCTCTATTTTTTGTAGGGTAGGTGCGTTTTAACCCAAAATAAACTTACACTAATATTTATGAAGAGTAAATCAGTTTTATAAATTTTGGATACAAAATTATAGCCAACAATCAACGTTTTAGTGGCATACCTAGGCCGGCGTTCTACTCTGAAGGCCATTACGCAATATTGATTAGAACGCAAAAATTAAATGGATGAACCCATCAGTACATGTCGCTAAAAACAAGAAATATTATACGGGCGATTTGGTTAGGGAAAAAGTCATACTGACCGAACCCTCTAACCATTTTTAATCCGTTAGCCACTCGAGTTAGTAGTTTTTAGACCCGCCTCATGTACGGGTAGGCATCCTTCAACGAATTATTTTTCTACCTTGAACAAATAACAATAGAATGGCCCTAATAATAGATTCAAAGCATTTCAGTCCGAGAAAATAACGAAATTGAAAAAAGCGATTGCGTCGTGTGTCCATTTATCTCCACCTTTAGACACCAAGTAGTTTTCAGTTGAGTAAATAAAATACAGAATGTGCACATATATAGGAACTGTACAAAACTATGACATACAAAGTTGGGTTTCAAGAATGCACGCCGGTGTATACACTGAGACATGGTTCCCTCATTACCCGAACAAATTATTGCCCTGGAAGGTGTAAGTACTTGGGCGATTTAAAGCTCAGCTTCTAGAAAGCTTTTACCAAAACCCTTGCTAGACACATCAGAGTCTTAAAAATAGCAATCTTGGTACGAAATATTCATAAAGAATATATTTCTCTACACGGTCTTGGTTTCATCTCGGACAAATGAGTGTTTTATACATATTTATTTCTGGTCTGTATATGTTTACCATGTAGGCTTACCGAGGATAAAAACAGATGTCTGACTGTCTTCTTTCTTAAAACATGTAATATTTCTTAGACCATAACGAAGATGATCCACTCGAGGAAACGGTGAATTATTTTTGCTCCTGTGCTAACAACCTTCTCACCGAGCACGTTAAGTGTGTCCGATATAGCCTTACTTTTCCGTAATGCATGTACAATCATTCATATTTATTCTCTAAGACATACCACGTCGAGTCATTTTCATTATCCCGAAATTGCACATTACCAGATATCATGACAAAATATAAAAAAACGAAACAAATATAATCAGTTCACTACAAGTGAGTCACAATATGATTTCGAAAGATAAAAACCGTCTATGTGACTGTGTGTGCTCTAATCTCTAATTTTATTTAACTAAATGCGAGTTTACTAAATATGAGAGAAGAGCATGTAACAATCGTTTGAATGGCCGTTTCATCAATACCACTCATTCCTTATATGTTAATATCTGTTAATTATTATTGACCATCGCTTGTGCATGTTGTTTTTTGTAATGCATATGTTTTTCTGTTTGAGCCCTTTACTAAACACGTATCATGTTGGTCGGGTGATTGAAGGTTATGAAAAACAGAATAATATAGGTGTATTTTTAAACAAATGGAATTTTAAATTACATTTTTTTGCCACAGTGAGAGCTCTGCCAGTCGGGCCTATTGTCGCTCTTGGTTAAATCTTCTGTAACATTTTTCAGTGAACAATCTCGATATTTGAGACAATAGGCCGTTAGTTTATAACAATGTAAGCAATAAGACTCAGAATTCTCTAGTGCAATGTTTGTTTGAGTAAAATTACTTGAGTAGTTCTTATGCGCTTTATAAAACCTGACGTCGTTTATGACGTCGTTTGTGTAGGTTTAATTTCACATACGACTATTGTCTTTACTACTTCAAGTTGTTAATTAGATAAATGAATATAATGGATAGAATTCACGTCTAGTCATAGATCCAGCATTCTAAACTAGTTTGCTTTACACCTATAATACCGTAACCATTTCGTAATTATGCAGAAGAAAAAGGTTAGAGAATAATTACCAAATGCAGATATTCTAGCACAGTGAACTCATGTTTTAATCTAAACGTAATAATACATATACTATCTATATAATAATACACATCTATACAACCCGCCCGTTTACTGCCGAGTCAAAAAACACCGTTGAGATGGTGTGTTTATTCAGTTTTGGACTCACTGCATTAATAGTCGTTTATTTACGGCAACAGACGTTCATATTCCTCATCTTATTTATCCCATGAACCTCATGAACGTTAAACATAGTTTGGCGCCTATCTTAACTGGTTCATCCATGATTTTTTCTTCCGCGTGCATGCAGGTAGAACCTAGTTCCGTTCATTGACCTTTGCTGCATCCAATCATAAATGAGCTGCCCATATGCATTCACTGTTCAGTAACTTATTCTAACAGCTAGATTCGTGGTCATGTAATCCGTATTTAATTTGCCAATGTAGCTCATGGCGTTTCGCCCGTAAATAGACGTACGGCAACGTCGTTAACCGTCCATCATTGCCAGTGTGCTATAAACAAGTTACAAATCAACTATCTTTAGAGATCAGCTGAGCACGTATAACATTTCGTATGTGCATAAACGAACGAACATTTGGATGTGAAGCATTGCTTAAGCCAGTGAATACTAATAAATTCCCGTATTTAAAGCTAAGTAAAATTTTACTCTTACCGCAGTCCATCGTCGATATCGGTGAATGAACTAGATCTTTTCTTTTACAAGATCACTGAACAAGTGATAATAGTGCATCCATGAACACGTGACAGCTGCTGCATCTACGTCTGCAAAAGCAACTGAGTCGTTTCAAACAGCCGATGTTATGGATTATGAACCGATATAAAGTGGATAGTGGAGTAGTGGAGTAGTGGCAAGATCTTCAGTAGGCTGATCGACGATGACAAGCGGTTTAAGTGACGACAAATTCGCTCTCCTACCTAAATGTATAAGCTGCTGCTACCGTATTGACAACTAAAACTCGTTAAGGAAGCGTGTGCTCTCCACTGCCCTCTTTCGTGTTAGTATCAACATCAGCAGCGGCGTCATCAGTATAGAGAACACAGGCAGGCGACACTCATTCTGCTCATCTGTTCGAAAGTTACTAAGAATCCTCTCGTTCGAACACTAGCTATTACAGCAGGAGCAATTCTTACACCGTTGCAACAGCAACGGCGCCACTATCAGAGCCATGATCAGTACGAGTGGTACGATGCTCGAACGAGGTAATAGCTACCGAATCTTTAGCTTGTATCGGCAGCGCCGCAGTCGCCGCATCATTGTAGCAGTAACGCGAGGGGCGCGAGATGCAGTAGTAGTAGTAGGCGCCACAGGACGAGTAGGGAAGCGGTAGTAGTGGTGTGGTACAGACAAAATTGCCAGCAACAGTTTATTTTTTGACTGGACTTTAATCATTCACAAAGCTTCAGTCGTGCTAGCGGCGTACTTCATTTTTTCTAGAAAAACGAGTCACGTAGTTTCATACGTCACGTTAAATGGATCCTTCTGTATTGAAAATTATTAAACGCATTTTGAGTATTATATAACAGGTTAGGAAGAAACCATCACACTTTAGGAGTCGAGTTACTAACGAAGAAGCTGCTGGCAGGAAAAAGGTTCAATTAAATACTTTCGCTTAATAAATTATGATAGGTATATATGAATAACAGATGGTATTGTCACTGTTGTGCTGTACGAAACGTCTTTCGCGGTAAAGGACTACTGCTATAGTTGTTTTTTACACATCTGATTTGAAAAAGCCTTGTTATGCGTTGATTCGAAAGAAATGGAAATAATACGCCCTTACCATTCTACTTCAGAAATACGTAGAGAAGTGAATAATCCTGTTCGATCACACAATTTCTTTGGCCCTTCATGAAATATAGAACACCACTGAAAACTGCAATTACAAGCACTACTTTGATGATCCGAAGTGAGTTAGCACAATAACAAATTCGATAAAATTAATTACAAACACTCAACAAAATCTACATGTATTTTGTTGCTTAAAAACACGATTTCCAACTTAATATAATAATAATACATTTATCACAAAACTAACATGCAGGTGGCAGCAAAAAATAATTAAACGAACATGACCGAAGCTTACAACGCCATGTCAGGTTTCACCCAAAAGACGCGTGGCTTGTTGCTTAAAACGACATATAAACTAATCAATATTATTGCGGAGTGCACATTCAGTGCACATTAACCGTCCATTTTGCATACATCATATTAACAAGGTGGCTCTTGTAAAAAATACGGTTTTTGGGAAATGAAATTATTATCTTTGTAGTTAGCCGAATAGTAGTCATAATCGGGAAGAAATAAAATCAGCGACAAATCAAATTAGTCCGGCGTTGAATATCGCGTTGGTAACGTATGTGTCACGCGGTCTCACCTATGTAAAAGTAAAGCTTCGTATTCCATTAAGTGATGAAAAATCGTTTAAGAAACCGGGAAGTTCTTCCTCCCGGTTTATTCTTTGATCAACCACTTGAGAGGTCTAACTGGAATTTAATCTATATTGAGAACATCAAAATATAAATATCTTGTGTGACCAATAAACCATGCAATTAATAACTCTGAGGGCTTTGAGACCTTTAAAACTACTGTGGTATTCTTATATTTAGCAAAAATCTTTTTCACCAGGTCGCAATCAGCGAAGCGAAAACAAAGGCACAGCCATTTTATTCTAGCATACTTCGAATGTATGTATATACATATGTTTACCCAGTTTTTTTCTTCTTGTACCTCATTGTTGTCACCGCGGCATTTTAGCTCAGCGACTAACGACAGCAGTTCAATGCATTGGTATTATTTACATAAAGTAAAAAATTCCCGCCTGAATAGAATGAGCACAAACGCGAGAGTCTGTTTTGCAAACTTACCCGTTGCGAAAATACACTTCAGAAAACATGCGACTCGTGTATTAAGTCGCGTGTTTCGTGGACTACTGTAATTTATCAACAGATATACTTTGCAGGTAT